ACTCTGAGGTACTTTTGTCCATATTTAGGGAGCTATGTACTTCATGATGATACGAAGACAGTTTTTTTCAGCCTCTTGTCTTTGCAGTTTTGTAGTACTTGGTGGTGACTAATGACCCTAGAAAAATGACTTCGGGTCTGAATCAAATAGTGGAGAACGAAAGGTGTGGGTACGTGGATGTAGAGTCTGGACGCCGTTGTAGGTCTTCTGTTCTCTCACATCTATCTACATCTACATTCTATTATCTATGACGCATTCTACTATGTATTCATGCAATAAAACTTTAGATATTAACTATTATGCAAAATTGTAAACGTCGGAATCAGAAATTTTGGTCAACCCTAAGTAATTGGGCCGAAATGTCCCTAAAACGTCCCCCGTCCTTTTATATCATTTATAATTTTATAAATTTCTAAAACATATATGGCTGTCATGTCGGAGCAGCCAAAAAGCAAAAGCTAAAATTCTATACTATTGATGAATTTAAATAATTGCAAGTGATATAGGACAGTTTTTAACAATTAACGAGTAGTATATCAAACTTCTGCTGAATTATAAACAGAGCATTATAGATATATTCTATCCAAAATACCAATAAAAGAAATAATGACTATTGTTACCAAATGTCAGAGGTACAAGACAGTGAATATTAGTCGGTGTGATTGACAACAGATTCAGTTCAGATATTTCAGCAGTGATCTACTGTCAGAAAAGAAAAAGAAACAACTGAACGACACTACTGCACCTTGCTTTGACAACCCACTTTGGAACTCGGCATAAGGCTTCAATATTTGTTGTTCCCCATTTCAATTACAACAGAGTAACTATTGTCCGAAAAAAAAATGTGAGTGACTATTTCTTGAATAACTTTCGATAGGAAGAAGATATAGACCTACGGTTTTCACCATTCGAAAGAGCGATGTTTGGACTATCGATCTGTATGAGAATTATCAGCCGAAAGATGGTTTGTCATAGAGAAGTTTCGTTTGACATTTTTTTCTTTGTTTATTTTCACAATAGTCTTTACTCAAATTATGCCGAAACGTAGCTGAAACTATCCTTTTTTCGCTATAAAATTATCATATTTTTCACTATCCCGTTAATTTATTCTTACAAGTGGACTTATAATAATATATGAGAATTTTCTATCAAAAAAAAAAGGATAGTTTCAGCTGTTTCGGTATAATTTGAGTTAAGATAATTGTGAAAATTGATGAAAATACACAAAGAAAAAATGTCAAACAAAAGTTCTCTATGAAAAATCATCTTTCATCTGATGGTTCTCATACAGATCGATAGCCCAAACATCGCTCTTTCGAATGGTAAAAACCGCAGGTCTATATCTTGTTCCTATCAAAAGTTAATAAAAAAATGGCCACATGCCTTTTATTTTTTCTCGGACAATAGTTCTGCATGCAAAGCAACACTTGTATCATGTCCTCCATGAGTAAGTGGAACTGACGCCTAACGAGTACAATCTACCGATATGCTCAGCAAAAAGCCTCCTGCCCTCATCTGCAGCCTGAAAAAGCAGTCAAAAATTGACAGCTCAGACTACATCAAACGTTATATATCGACATGCGCGATGAGATAGATGTGCAATATCGGTGCTCTTCTGGTCACCGCATGTCGTGGCTGATATAAAAGGTGTATAGACACCCTGGACTAAGATATATAAGGCAAATATCAACAAGACGTATGATTTATGTCTTAACAAAAATGAGCCTCATTGAAAACTTTTTCCATCGTCATATATCATGAAAGCAATAATTAAATTTGCCTGAATTATAAACTCACAAAATAGTGATGTATTCATGAGATCCTTGATAAAGCACGATAATGTGAAAGGACTAGTTCGAAGAACTCTTTAGTTACTGCTATCAGAGACACATCATAATCGACGTGAGAAGACAAAAAAGTATACAGCTATGCTTTGGAATCATCGTAAAAAGATGGAGAAAGTATTATCCTGTGTTTAAAACATAGAGAAGGATACATCAGTATTGATTCACCATCGAAACAGTTGAAGACCACATCCGAACAATTGTTTAACTCATCGACATGACCATCTTCAGTAGGTCAGCATACATTTTTCAAAAATCATGATTTCCTCTCACTGAAACTAACACATGATACATAACTATCTTTCTGCAGCGCATAGTACTACCTTACATACAAGCTTCAGCTTCCAAACAATAGGTACCTACGTGATCGTCATATCATATCTATGCAACATGATTCCCGAAAAGACATCCAGTGAACAATTTCAATAGAGTTTCAATGACAATAAAATCGTGAAACTCTTTCTCTTTAATCTCATTTTACTAATGAGACGACAGCAAAGCCAGCTTTATTATGTCACTCATAAGAATTTCATCTGTTGTTCTGTGGCTATTCTTACATGCAAGTCCTTTTCTATTTATAAATTTATAAATGGTATAAAATGTTAACTTTTGCTTTTTAGCTGCTTCGACTTGAAACTGGTTTTTTTGCAATGTTGTAACTATTTTCGAAATGATATAAGGCACTCCGGTCATCATTTATATTCGAATTTCAATTGGGAATCTCATGCAAAGTCGCCGCGATTTTCGCGACATGGGATAAATTTTTGATTACGTAAATATTTCAAGAACCAAATCTTCATTAGGATCTTTGATCACCACAAAACGCTGACTGATTTATATTTATTATAAAATAAAAATATCCAAAAAACTGAAGTTCTTTATGGGAATTAGAGATACTTAAAACTATGTAGTCATTGAAGCTATAGACGCAGATAAATTCATATACTCCTGCCAAACAAATGTTCTTTTTTCAGAGAAAAAAAAAGCAATGTTAACATTTAAGAAAAAACAAACAGATATTTTTCATCACTTGTCAGCTATATGTAAATAACTACGATTCTCTTTCACATACTTAGGGTTGACCAAAATTTCTGAAAACATTAAATAAAAATGTAAAGATAAGGAGATATTTTTAATTTTATTTTATCAAATGTTCAGGATAGTTGATATTATTATTTATGCCAAGTTCAATTCTTTCAAACAATTCATTAAAAGTATTTTTGAACTCTTTTTCTAAAAACGTTTTTTGGATACATTGAAACCCGCATGAGCATATCATATATCACTTTGTTTTAAAATTTAGCAAAATTTTGTTAGATCATGTCAGTTGCATTCTAGCACTACTAGTAATGATATATGGATTTATTTTAGATAGGTTACCAAGAAATCATTTGATACTAGCTGGCTTAGTGAAGATGACTTGTGAAAGACTACTTTTCATGGAGACAGATTTGAACCAAAACGTTGTTTCGTGTATTCTTTTAAATCAAATAGTTCGCAGTGTAGATAAAGGCAAGACTGTAGGTCACAAATGCTATCATGAAAATTGTCTGAAGCCTTTTGTTAGTGGAATATGGAAACAAACACAGACATCAGGTTCAAAATATACAAAAATTGCTTGATGATTATCGTTGACTTCATACTCAACCAATGTTGTTAATTATTTGATCGAAGAAGACATCAATATAATGTCGTATTCACCATATTCGCCATACCTCATACTACATAATCTTTGTTTAAGTAATTCTATCGAACGAAGTTTAACTGATTAAATCAATGAAATATATTGTGCTCATGCAGTTTTCAAGGTAGCTAAAAAGTTTTTAGAAAAAGAGTTCAAAAAAACTTTTAATGAATTGCTAGAAAGAATTGAACTTGGTATAAATAATAATGGCAACTATCCTGAACATTTGATAAAATAAAATTAAAAATATCTCCCTATCTTTATATTTTTATTTAATGTTCTCAAAAATTTTGGTCAACTCTAAGTATATAGCAGTACGAAACACCAGAAGGCAGAAGCAAGCCTTATATCAGTACGTCTTTGTCAGGACATGTTAAATATTGTTGCAATTTCATATAAAAATATTAATTTTTCTATTTTCACGGTCCTTATCCTCAACACTTTTTCACATATTTCATTGAAAAAAAACTCGTAGTAGACGAAGTAGGTCCATAAATAAAAGGAAAAACAAATATAGGAACGAATATTTTGTGTTAAAAAACCATTTTTAAAGATAATGCATTCAATGTAAGATACACAGGCTGTTCCATCAATAGTTGATGATGAAAGAAAAAATGTAGGGAAGAAAACCAAGTTTGATATTGTTTTATCATTATAGTTTAGTTTATACTTTCTCATCGATAACATGTAGAATCAAAATTATCTTTCGTATTAAACGAATAGTAGACACAAACAAAAGAAAATATTTTAGCTACTTATGAACAAAGAGAACTTTTGTTGAATTATTGTTCGAAAAATAAAACAAAAAGATGTTTAAAAATACGTATAACTTCAAATGATAACGCAATCAAATATTGAAATGATGGGAATTGATATCATGGAAATTTTATTTGAACTCTAAATATATTTCGTACTCAAAGAAATAATTTGAAAATGATACAAATTGATTTTGAACTTTCATCTTCTATCAATGGTGAATGATTATTTTCTTTCCCAGACATCGATACACTTCCCTGAATATGTCTCGCGTTATGCGTTTTTCTTTTCGTTTCACATCGATGCGCATGGTCATCTATACATTTATTTACATCTTTTCTAATCTTGCATGAGCACGTTTTTTTTCATCCAAATTTCATGTTATCGATGTTACATTAGAAGTTCTTGCTGTTATATTCGCCATTCAAGGAGGTGCTGTAGAGAAAAAAGTGGAGAAATGCAACGAAATTTTGTCAAAGGTGAAAGGTTCCAGGTAGAATTTTTTAAAAGTGGGGGAGGGCACTGAACATTCTTTTTTCATTTTACGATCTTTTCTTTTTCAATAAAATGTACGATTTTTGCTGGGAAAAACTAAAAACTTTCTAAAAGTGGGGGGTGCGCACCCTGTGGGCGGCACATCCCTGTCGCCATTATTGCTATTTCGACTTGGTGAGTTCATTTTTTATTGAAATCTCGAATTTTTTTATTTATTTTTCATGTTGAAAAGTTCGTGGAAAAAAGTGACACTGAAAGATTATGATACTGTTCCAGCTATTTATCATTCACCATTATTAACAGCATCAATCATTTATGACAATGTAAAAATTAATTATCAAAATGCCACTGGTTATGTTCTTCAGATTAGTTCAGGATTAATAGATATTTGTACACATCTTCGTCAATCAAATCATCTTTCATTCGAAGTCGATCGTTGTAAACAAACAATAACTTAAGCAACAGGTGGTAGCATCGACTTTTTCGCATTATTAAGACGAAATTTTTTTTATTTAGGTCTTGCTATAGTTGGTGTAATATTTCTTGTGTTTGAAACTGTTTGTACTAGTAAAATCATATCTTTCTTTTATATTCATTTTTAAATAGATTGTTTATATAGATTTCGCTAATGAAGAAAATTATGAAGATCATGAAACGCGTTGGTTATCTTATTGTTCAGCAATTTCTCTTGCATTCGATGGTTTACTTCTTTTTACATCTCATTGAACATACTCAATTAGTTCTGGATTACAACTTTCAGAAGTATGTTTGATATGAATATTCTATGTATTTAGTTGTTATATCACCTGTTATTAGTTTACTTTCAATGAGTCTGATTCTTTGACGAATTGTAAGTATAGATATTTGTGTGATGAGAAATTGAGTTTATCTCTAAACAGTATCTTCGTAGGATTTATTTCAATCCACAATCAAAAGTAAATTCTGTTAAACAATGTAGATCGAAAAAGTGCAATTGTTGTTTATGACTGAATGATTTTATTTATTGATTATAATGTGCATATTGTTATTTATTAATTATCATGTATTGTTTTTGTTTTTATACGATTTTCTTTTAATTTTGTGAACAGAATCAACTTATTTCTCGTGCATTTCTCCAATTTTTCTATATCCATTGCTGTCATTTTATTTCATTAAGAAAATTTCCTGTCATATTCTAGATATTTTTCAATAAATGGCAACGACTGCCGACTACAGTTTTGAGGTATAAGGCTTGATGAACATTTTTATAAATTTGTTTGGTCCTTTTCATTAAAAGTTAAAGCAACTCAGAGCTGAACGGACACGTTTGACGAAAGAACTAAATGATCTTGAACAGTAATAACCAAATCTTCAAAATCAAATTGATAAAGATTGTTGTCGTCTCGAAATCGTCTATTTACAATGTTTAATTCGAGAAAATATAGTAAAATATGATCTAGTAGAATTCAAACAAGAAAATTTTGGAACACCAGTAAGCTTTTTATTTCTTTTAATTTAAAAAGCTATAAGTGAAATATTAAATGTTTAGTGTTCCATAAAAAAAATATAAATATCAAAATGTTCAACGACAATTTTTTTTTCTCATTTAAACTATCAAGTACTTCACAGCAACTCACTGTATCAGGTTTAATTAGTACTTGAGATTCATCAAATATGAAAGTTCGAGTATTGAATTAGCAAATGAAAAAAAAACTCATTTCAAAAATCCATTTTTTTCTGTTTATAACAACAAGAAAAATACTTAGGGCAATCCAAAAGTAGTGGCAGTAGTACTTTTATTCCTTATAAAAAGCTTTAAGAGACTTTCTTTGTATATAGTCTGATAGAGAAAAGAATGCTCTATTTTTCTATGCTATTTG